GTGTTCGCGCAGCGCGCCTTCGACCACGAGCAACTGCGCGCCTTCCAGCTGACGCTGCAGGCGCGTGATCAGGGCTCGCCAGCGCTCAGCGCCAATGTCAGCCTGAGCGTGCTGGTGGGCGACCGCAACGACAACACGCCCAGAGTGCTGTACCCCGCGCTGGAACCTGATGGCTCCGCTGTCTTTGACATGGTGCCGCGCGCCGCGCAGCCTGGCTACCTGGTCACCAAGGTGGTGGCGGTGGACGCAGACTCAGGACACAATGCCTGGCTGTCCTACCACGTGCTGCAGACCAGCGAGCCCGGGCTCTTCAGCCTGGGGCTGCGCACAGGCGAAGTCCGCATGGCTCGCGCCTTGGGCGACAGGGATGGAACCCGCCAGCGACTGTTGGTCGCTGTGCGTGATGGAGGACAGCCACCTCTGTCGGCCACAGCCACGCTGCTCCTAGTTTTCGCAGACAGCCTGCAGGAGGCGCTGCCGGACCTCAGCGATCGCCCTGAGCCCTCTGACCCTCAGGCTGAGCTGCAGTTTTATCTGGTCTTGGCTTTGACCTTGGTCTCTGTGTTCTTCCTCCTCGCTGTGATTCTGGCCATAGCTCTGCGCCTGAGATGCTCCTCCAGCCCCGCCGACAGAGGCTGCTTTGGGTCTGTTCTCTGTGCCAAATCTAATTCGGGGGTTGTTCCCAACTACAGCGAGGGAACATTGCCCTATACCTACAATTTATGTGTGCCTGGAGATCAAGCCAACCCACAGTTTAATTTTCTCACATCTGTTGATCATTGTGCAGCCACTCAAGACAGTCTCAATCAAAATAGCTCCTCAGTGCTTTTGGCTAGCCTTTTAGCACCGAGCATTGAAGCAAGTAAGACTTTTACACAGGTAAGTAGGGTTTTTTTAATTAATGCTTTTGTATTCCTGTATTTTATGACACTGTTATTTTAAAATTCTAGATACTCTCTTCATAAAGTAAATTTCAGATAAACTAATGAATATCATCATTAAGACTAAGGTTTACAATGCTTGAACCTGCTTTTCAAGGGATTTTAAGATAAAATCATTAGTAAAACCTAGACAAAATTTTCATTAAATCAAATGCCTTTTAATTTTGTCAAGACCGTGCTATTTCCACATTCATAAATACCATTCCGTTCCGTCGGTACCAATTAGGGGAAATCAATAGGAACCAAATCTAGTCTTCAAATATTCAGTTGCAGTGGTATTTTGAAAACTTTAAAATGTTCTGTTTTATAAGTACTCCTCTCATAAGAGCTCTTGATGAACTTTAAAAATCATGTACAAGTCTTCGTTGCTTTCAGTTTTAAGCTGAAAGCACATTCATAAATACCATTCCGTTCCGTCGGTACCAATTAGGGGAAATCAATAGGAACCAAATCTAGTCTTCAAATATTCAGTTGCAGTGGTATTTTGAAAACTTTAAAATGTTCTGTTTTATAAGTACTCCTCTCATAAGAGCTCTTGATGAACTTTAAAAATCATGTACAAGTCTTCGTTGCTTTCAGTTTTAAGCTTTACAAATACGTGTGATTCTCAGAGGTGAGTAATAATTTCTGGGGTCCACACCTTAGTTGGGTTTTTGGAAAACGTTGTAAAAACCAGGTTGGACTCTAGGCGCCGCTGTTCACCAGTCAGGGAATGAATGGGAAATTGGGAGCGATCGAGTCCCTCCCTCCCCCACCACTGCGGCACAAAGCGGAATGATGGATACTTACAGATTCTGAAGCTGGAATCTGAACATACTTTCCTGCCTTTTCTAATACAATCTGGGTGCGATCGGCCTGGGACTTCGTAGATACACAGACTCAGAAAGAAACCGACACAAGAAACGGCCTGATATTGGATGTCATCGCCATGGCGGATTGGCTCCAGCGCCTGGACCCCTGCGGGCTGGTCCTGCTGTGCTTTTTCCTGGGGACGCTGAGGGGGTCCGGGGCCGGGCAGATCCGATACTCTGTGGCGGAGGAGACAGACAAAGGCTCCTTCGTGGGAAACATCTCCAAGGACCTGGGACTGGAGCCCCGGGAGCTGGCGGAGCGCGGCGTGCGCATCGTCTCCAGAGGTAAAACGCAGCTTTTCGCTTTGAATCCTGGAAGCGGCAGCCTGGTCACGGCGGGCAGGATAGACCGCGAGGAGCTCTGTGAGATGGTTTCCGCTTGTCTTTTAAATATAGAGATCCTTGTGGAAGACACCTTGAAGATATACGGTGTGGAGGTGGAAATCATGGACATCAATGATAACGCCCCCAGCTTCCGGGAAGAGGAAGTAGAGATAAAAGTCAGTGAGCACGCAACTCCAGGATTGCGACTTCCCCTTCCTAATGCTAAGGATCCAGATGTGGGAGTGAACTCCCTCCGGAGTTACCAGCTCAGCCCTAATAGTTACTTTTCCTTGCATGTGCGAGGCGGAAGCGATGGGGTCAAGAATCCAGAGCTAGTGCTGGAGGGGGCTCTGGACCGGGAGAAAGAGGCTGCCCACTTGCTCCGCCTCACTGCCTTAGATGGAGGAGATCCCGTCCGCAAGGGCGCTGTTCCCATTCGGGTGGTGGTGCTGGACGTCAATGACCACTTCCCGAAGTTTACACAGTCCGTGTATCGCGTGAATGTCCCTGAGAACCTCAGCTCCGGATCGCGGGTGCTCGTGGTGAATGCAACTGATCCAGACGAAGGAGTCAATGGGGAAGTGACGTATTCATTCCAGAATATGGAAAGCAAAGCTTCCAAAATCTTCAAGTTAGATTCTCGAACTGGAGAAGTTCTAATACAAGGCTCCCTGGATTATGAGAAATATAAATTCTATGAGATAGAAATTCAAGGCCAAGATGGAGGAGGTCTGCTGACCACGGCCAAGTTGTTGATCAGGGTTTCGGATGTGAATGATAATGCTCCGGAAATAACCGTCACCTCTGCTACTAATTCATTGCTAGAGAACGCTCTGCCAGGTACAGTCGTTGCACTTCTTAATGTGCAAGATCAAGACTCTGAAGAAAATGGTCAGGCTTCCTGTTCCATTCCTAATAATTTGCCTTTCAAATTAGAAAAGACTTATGGAAATTATTTCAAGTTGGTAACCAACAGACCACTGGACAGGGAGCAGGTCCAGAGCTACAATATAACATTGACAGCCACGGACCGGGGAAGTCCACCCTTGTCTACTGAAACTCCTATCTTCCTCAATGTGGCCGATGTCAATGATAATCCACCGGCTTTCCTTCACTCCGCTTACTCTGCCTACATTCCTGAAAATAATCCCAGAGGTGCTTCCATCTTCTCTGTGACAGCCCACGACCCAGACAGCAAAGAGAACGCCCAAGTCATTTACTCTCTGGCAGAGGACACTATCGAGGGGACGCCCCTGTCCTCCTACATCTCGATCAATTCCAACACTGGAGTCCTGTACGCCCTGCAATCCTTCGATTATGAGCAATTCCGAGACCTGCGGCTGTGTGTGACAGCACGTGACAACGGGGACCCGCAGCTCAGCAGCAACGTGTCACTGAGCCTGTTTGTGCTGGACCAGAATGACAATGCACCCGAAATCCTGTACCCTGCCCTTCCCACCGATGGCTCCACTGGGGTGGAGCTGGCTCCTCGCTCTGCAGAACCTGGCTACCTGGTGACCAAGGTGGTGGCAGTGGACAGAGACTCTGGGCAAAATGCCTGGCTGTCCTACCGCCTACTCAAGGCTAGCGAGCCTGGACTTTTCTCCGTGGGCGTGCACACGGGCGAGGTGCGCACAGCCAGAACCCTGCAGGACAGAGATGCGCTCAAGCAGAGCCTCGTGGTGTCTGTCCAGGACCATGGCCAGCCCCCTCTCTCCGCCACCGTGACACTCACCGTGGCCGTCGCCGACAACATCCCAGATGTCCTGGCTGATCTGAACAGCCTAGAGTCTCCCACCAACCCTGAGGACTCGGGACTCACGCTGTACCTCGTGGTGGCTGTGACCGCGGTCTCCTGCGTCTTCCTCGCTTTTGTGATCGTGCTGCTGGCGCTCAGGCTGCGACAATGGCACAGGTCGCGCCTGCTTCGGGCTTCCGGAAGCTGCTTGACAGGCGTGCAGGGCACGCACTTTGTGGGCGTGGATGGTGTGCGAGCCTTCCTGCAGACGTATTCCCACGAAATCTCCCTCACTGCAGACTCTCGGACGAGCCACCTGATCTTCCCGCAGCCCAATTACTCGCACACGCTCATCAGCCAGGAGAGCTATGGGAAAAGCGAGCCTCTCTTAATAGCCGAAGACTCAGCTGCTGGTTTAGGCAAAAGTGATCCCAGGAATCATCAGGTGAGATTTATTTCCCATTTCCTCAAGTGCTGATATTTTGGCATGGTTTCTTTGTTGTTTTTTTCCCCCTTTTCTTTTCTAATCCTGTTATGAAAACGTTGGCAAGGGAAATATACTCACTTACTACTACTTATTTAGAGCAATACATGTGAGCTTATGTACTTTTAAATGGATCAGACTAATAATTTTTCAGAAAGGATTTGGGAGTCATTTTTAACAGTTTTATTGGCACTTAGTCCATATATCACACAATAGAGAGTCATTAAAAAATAGATTCCAAAGGACTAGCTTAGCTATAGTGACATGCTCCATATTGGATTTCAGTATTATTTTTCTACCATCAGTGTGTGTGGCTATTGTAAAACTGATTTAAAATCACCTTTTAGTTCCTGTTTCTTGAACTTCACATTGCTTACACTGTGTTTTGAGTTATAAAATTAAAACTTAGATCTATTCTACAAATATCTGCTATTTTAATGTTCCAGTTTGACCCTACCGAATCAAAAACATATTATTTTTTATAAATATAAACCTCATTCATGCACACACAAAGGCTTATAAAAGAAAATGTAGTTGAAAGATCATGGCATTTTTTTTTACCATAAGGGTACTCCCTTGAAGATTTATAGCCTGAGTTGGAATCAACTTAATGACAATGAATTTGGGCTTTGTTGTATGTGTGTGTGTGTGTGTACACTGGAGTTTATCTCTGCACATAAACTAATTTTATTTTGATTCTTAATGGCTGATAATATTTTTAGATCTAGTGAGCATTTCAGTTTTGTCTCATTTCATCTTATCAAAAGAGGCACATAGACTGCTTTTTAGTGTTAATGGCCTTTTTAAGAAAAGGAAATATGTTGTTGGATGCCACTGAGTCACTTCCAGCCTATAGTGACCCTGTGAACAGCAGCAACGCGGCCCAGTTCCTTCTGCACACTCTCACCATGGTTCCTATGCCTGTGCCCATTGTTGTAGCCATTCTGTCTGTCCATCTTGTCCAGGGTCTTCCTCTTTTTGGCTGCCCCTCTACTCCTGACAACATGTCCAAAGTACATGAAGCAAAAATCTCACCATCCTTGGCTCTAAGGAGCATCCTGGCTGTACTTCTTCCAAGACAGATGTCTTTGTTCTTTAAGCAGTCCATGGTATTTTCAATGTTCTTTAGCATCATGATTCAAACACATCAATACTTATTAGGTCTTCCTTAATCAACATCCAAATTTCACATGCATATGAGGCAATTAAAAATACTGTGACTTGGGTCTGCCTTAGTCCTCAGAAAAACCTCCTAGTTTTTCAACACCCTGAAGAAGAAATATAGAACTCATTAATTTTCTTAAGTTACAGATATCTCGTAATTACCATTGTGAAGTCATTAGGTGGTTCTCAAGAAATAATTGAATTGCTGATCTATGTTATTACCATTCATTTGTGTGCTATTTGTATGTGTATGTGCTGAGTTTTTAAAATGTAGTCAATTCACGTGTCACATATAGAATTAACTACTTTGATCCAGTGTTTCTCAGAAGTTATTTCCATATGTCAAAGATCCATAGATTTTCCAGATTTATTCAAATGGAAAAGTTTGTGAAGATAAGAGATAGGATGGGGTTTTGACCTTAAATAGATGGATTTTGCTGGTATTCTTCTAGCTATTTTCCCCCCAATGTGCCTGGTAGTCATTAATTTTCCCAGTCTTCATACGTTCATTTTGTGTCTTATGTTAAGTACAATCAAGTCTTATATTCAGGACCAACCTGTTCCTGAAGCATGCTGGTTACCTCTTCATATTATCTGAGTCCATTTCTAAGGACTTGAGGGCAGGAGACGTCTCTCAGTTGTTCATTCACAGGAATCTTCATCCATTCACCACAGGACCCTCACATTCCTCCTAGATATTTGGCCCAATTACTTACATATTCATATTATGTCTCAAGTCTACCTTTCTCATTTTAGTAGGTAACTGTTGAACTGTAACTCGAGTCTCTAGTGCTTGGGCAAAAGAATTTTAACTATAGGAGAGAAGAGTATTCTAAAACGTCTAATTTTGTCTTGAAGCTATGTAAGAAGTGTATTTTGAGCATCTAACAGAAATAAGTATGTTTATGAAATTTCAAAATGAGAAAATATACTTAAGATATTGTGTATGAACTGGAATTCAATAGATAAAAAGAATATAAGGTACTTGGCTGGAAGAGAGAAATTGTTCGATTTTTCCTTTTTTTATATATATAGCTAGCAACCAAGATCTTGGGGAGAAAAAAGGAAGGGTTGCCTTTGAAACTTGATATTAAGGTTATTTTGGCTTAGAGGTCATATAAAGTTCTATTAAGGAATAACACATGAGGTTAAAAATAAAGCAACTTCATATTTCAGGGCATTAAATCCCTATAGTAATCTACTGGGGTATATGCCTTATATTCTTTTTTTATGATGAAAGTTTAAGGGACTTATCAATTGTTATCCTAACTATCTTTTATAAGTAACTAGGAAGACAATTCTATGGTACCAGCCGTCCTTACCCTGATCTGTCATATCTAGCTTCTATCTCCTCCAGTTTCCTCTAATAAGAAGAGAGGAAAATTACCCACACATCAGGTTGAACATAAGAATGGATGACATTTCATGACTGTCAAAATTTCTCCATACCACTTGGTGGGGCTATTTTCCTTTGTGGTATCTGTTCAAAGTCTGGAGAAAGATCTTACCTGGTTTTTCTTTCTTTTCTTTTTTTTTGCCTGGTTTTTCTAAAGTGTGCATTGTCATTGATTAGAAGAAGACAACGTTGCTTTTGTTAATCATTTTATTAGGGGCTCATACAACTCTTATCACAATCCATACATACATCAATGGTGTAAAGCACATTTGTACATTCATTGCCCTCATCATTCTCAAAACATTTGCTCTCCACCTAAGCCCCTGGCATCAGCTCCTCATTTTCCCCTCCTTCCCCACTCCCCCCTTCCTCATGAACCCTTGATAATTTATTATTTTGTCATATCTTGCACTGTCTGACGTCTCCCTTCACCCACTTTTCTGTTGCCCGTCCCCAGGGAGAAGGTTATATGTAGATCTTTGTAATAGGTTCCCCATTTCCACCCCACCCTCCCTCCACCCTACCGGTATCGCAACTCTCACCACTGGTCCTGAAGGGATCATCCGCCCTGGATTCCCTTTGTTTCCAGTTCCTATCTGTACCAATGTACATCCTCTGGTCTAGCCAGATTTGTAAGGTAGAATTGGGATCATGATAGTGGGAGGGGTGGGGCAGGAAGCATTTAGGAACTAGAGGAAAGTTGTATGTTTCATCATTGCTACACTGCACCCTGACTGGCTCCTCTCCTCCCTGTGATCCTTCAAGGGGATGGAAGACAAAGTTTTAACCTGCCATTACTGATTTTTGTTGTTGTTGCCATTACTGAATTAATGAGCCTTCTATAAGATCTCATCTTTGTGGAGGCTTCTTGGGCAATAAGCATTTGGAAAACGGTGCATTCAAAATTAATAGCCTACCTAGTTCTCTATGCATTGGTCCAACGCTCTATGAAAACCGAATCTCATTGAATTTGCAAAGGCTCCTGGCTGCAATTTTCTAAACAGACTCTGAGCGCCGCTATTGGCCAACACGCTGTCACAGGTGGAGCCAGATCTACCCGGAAGGTTTTCTGCGCAGTCGCAGAAGCAAGTGGCAAACTAGGGAGCGGATTCTTGCGCTCTCCTCGGCAAATCTGGCTCCGGAATGCGTGCTGGGGTGTTCTCAAGTGAGCAGCCTTGATTTGACGGGGTGGTGGAAGAGCATCTGAGGCTGCAGAGACCGCGAGGAGAATGGCGGCAAGTCGGGAGCAGAGGAGCAGGATCCGGTGGCGGCAAGTACTCTTTCTCTTCCTGCTGCCGTTGTTCTGCGCGGCGCTCTCGGAGCAGATCCGCTACTCTATTTCCGAAGAAATGGCCAGAGGCTCGGTGGTGGGGAACCTCCCTGAGGATCTGGGGCTGCCAGTACGGGATTTATTGGCCCGAAACCTCAGAGTCAGTGCGGAGAAACAATACTTTACCGTGGACGTAGAGAATGGGAACATCCTTGTCAGTGATAGAATAGATCGGGAGTCGCTCTGTCCTCAGGAACCTCTGTGTGTCCTGCCCTTAGAAATTGTAGCGGATAATCCCCTAAATGTTTTTCACATAAACGTGGTAATAGAAGATATAAATGACAACCAACCACACTTTCCTCGAGATAGCACTGTTTTACAAATCAACGAATTAGCAATTCGGGGCTCACGGTTTGGCCTGGAATCTGCTATAGATGCAGATGTAGGACACAACTCTCTACAGAGTTACCAGCTCACTGCTAATGAGCATTTCTCTCTGGTGGTGAAAGACAAGACTAAAGGCAAGAACACCCCAGAACTGGTGTTGGAGAAGCCCCTGGACCGGGAGCAGCAGAGTTCCCATCTCCTGATCCTAACAGCCTTGGATGGGGGCCACCCAGTCCGAACGGGCACCGCCCAAATCCGGATTGAAGTCTTGGACGCCAACGATAACCCCCCAGTGTTCAGTCAGGACGAATACAGAGCCTGCATTCCTGAAGGTGTGCCCCCAGGCACCTCTGTGCTCAAAGTGACCGCCACCGACAGGGACAAGGGCATCAACGCTGAGATTACCTACTCTTTTAAAACGCTACGAGAAGATATCGGAAATACGTTTATCCTAGACCCTCGAAGTGGAGAAATCAAATCCAAAGAGCTCCTAGACTTCGAGATCAGAAGTAGCTATACCATGAGCATAGAAGCGAAGGACGGTGGAGGCATGACCACCGAATGTAAAGTGACCGTAGACATTCTAGATGAGAACGACAACGCTCCGGACGTGGTGTTCACTTCTGTAGTCAGTTCCATTCGAGAGGATGCAGAACCTGGGACGGTGATAGCTCTGTTCAAAACGCATGATAAAGATTCTGGGGGAAATGGGGAAATAGTTTGCCTCCTGAAAGAAGACGTTCCTTTTAGAATAGAATCTTCTGCCAGTAATTACTACAAACTTGTAACAGAAGGGGCCCTAGACCGAGAGCAGACACCAGTTTACAACATCACCATCACAGCCACTGACAGAGGCCAGCCGCCCCTCTCCTCCAGCACAAGCGTCACCCTGCACGTCTCGGACGTCAACGACAACTCCCCAGTGTTCACCCAGACTTCCTACGTGGTCCACGTGGCTGAGAATAACCCTCCCGGCGCCTCCATAGCACAGGTCAGCGCCTCCGATCCAGACTTGGGGCCCAACGGCCGCGTCTCCTACTCCATCGTAGCCAGCGACCTGGACCCGCGGGCGCTGTCGTCCTACGTGTCCGTGAGCGCGCACAGCGGGGTGGTGTTCGCGCAGCGCGCCTTCGACCACGAGCAGCTGCGCGCCTTCCAGCTGACGCTGCAGGCGCGTGACCAGGGCTCGCCCGCGCTCAGCGCCAACGTCAGCCTGCGCGTGCTGGTGGGCGACCGCAAAGACAACGCGCCCAGAGTGCTGTACCCCGCGCTGGAACCTGATGGCTCCGCTCTCTTCGACATGGTGCCGCGCGCCGCGCAGCCTGGCTACCTGGTCACCAAGGTGGTGGCGGTGGACGCAGACTCAGGACACAATGCCTGGCTGTCCTACCACGTGCTGCAGGCCAGCGAGCCCGGGCTCTTCAGCGTGGGGCTGCGCACGGGCGAGGTGCGCACTGTTAGAGCCTTGGGTGACAGGGATGCGACCCGCCAGCGGCTGCTGGTCGCTGTGCGAGATGGAGGACAGCCACCTCTGTCGGCCACAGTCACGCTGCTCCTGGTCTTCGCTGACAGCCTGCAGGAGGCGCTGCCGGCCCTCAGCGATCCACCTGACTCCCAGACTGAGCTGCAGTTTTACCTGGTTGTCGCCTTGGCTCTGATCTCTGTGCTCTTCCTCTTTGCGGTGATTGTGGCTGTCGCTCTGCATCTGAGACGCTCCTCCAACACTACCTGGAGCTGTTCTCAGTATGGTTTCTGTTCTAAGACCGAACTCAGGGTTCCTCCCAATTACAACGAGGGAGCTTTGTCTTATTCCTACAATCTATACCTGGCCTCTGATTCCGGACAAACGAAGTTTAATCTTGACTCCACAGCACCGGAAATGGTACCTACAGAAGACCTCTGTAATGAAGCTTCTCTGATAGTAAGTGTTACTAAGTAGAATAACAATACGAAATCTTACTCTCATGCGTCTACTCTTGTAAGTTTCACTAGACATCTTTCATCTCCAAGGCTTGGGTTTTAAAACTAATCTTAGCAATGGCCTTCAAGTGTTTTGATAATTTTACGATATTCTTTACCCACCGGAAACAATCTTGTTTAGTGTGAGAAATTAGTGTTGTAGTACTGCGGATATGCACATATTTTTAATTGAAGCAAAACTGTTTTCTCTCCGTGGGTATATCTTCATTGGTATATTATGATCTTGAACTTAGGAATATAAGTCTTAAAAATCACCTAGTGTAAGTAGAGGAAAATGCATAAGAAAAAATTAGGGCATAGCAACTATTTGATAATAATATTCAGATACACTTGCTAAGGGTTCTTTGAATCCCACTGAGCAGATCAGTTTTAGGCTAGCTCTTTCTGATAGCTACCTGGAGATTCTCTCCCAACTCTACAGATATCACTTTATGTCTACCATCATCAGACTATAAATATAGATGCTTACATTAATGAAAGCAAAATAACCTGATGTTCCTTAAGGTGATTTTTCCCCCTCAATATTTTGCTTGGCTTCAAATTGCCAGCCACTGGAATAAGTTTGTTACCCAGGAAGAAATAAGCTTATAATGTTTATTTGTTTGCTGATTTTCTTTTGCTAAATCATCCTCAACTTAAAAACAAAACAAAACATGTATTAGTAAAGTTTTGCAACACTGCTCCTATTTCCAGGCAGTGAAGTTTGAAAAGCTTCTACTTTGTTCTGAAGCTGTTCATGGGTCTTCTTCACATGACTTCCTGACAGGAGTGATTCCAGTGATGTGGGATCACACATTTATCATTTTCAGATTTCCATATTATTGTAAAACTTTAAAAAATTAAGTGTAAACTGTCAAGAACCAGACTAAATAATTCCTCCATTAAGGCAAATTAAGGAAATTTATTTTTAAAATTTGCTTGAAATCATAATTGAATCAGAAAGTTTAAAGTATTCTATTATGTGGGTTATCAAAGTGGGAAATATCTAGAGGAATGTCCTGTAAAAGCTAGGCTGGAGTTGGTCTCAAATCAAGAGCAGTAAAATTATAAAATTAAAATAACTATTTATAACATCTTCAAATTTGTTTATAAGCTCTTTGGTTAAAAAAAAAAGAAATGAAAAGAAAATCAGAATACACCTGCAGCTACAGAATTAATCTCGGGACAATTATCTGTGTGAAAATGTCTGGGAAATAAAAAGAAGCTCCTTCAAGTTTCAACTAGAACAAACATTATGGTTCTTTGTTGACTGCACTTCCTTTCCTATTTGAAGAACAGTAGGTGGAGCTATTTAAGGAAGAAAAAGCAAAGCTCTTCCCTGTGCAAGATCGTGTAGTAATTGGTTAGGACTCTGAACACCGCTATTCACCAGTGAGGGAGAGAAAAGAGCGATCTTGTTCACCGTGCACGCGCCTATGAGGCAAAGCACCCCGACACACAGAAACTGATCAGTCATCTATCTTTGTGACTGAAGCATGTGAGTGGAGGAGCGCTGGCCCCCGTAGTCTGATGCCAAGAAACCTAGGAGATGAACTGGACTTCGGTGGTCAGGAGCTGATTTGGAAACAGTCTTCGAGGAAAGCGACAATGATTCCTGCGCATCTGTATCAGGGCTGCGAAGGGCTAATCCTACTGAGAGTCGTCCTGGGGATGCTGTGGGAAACGGAATGCACCCAGATCCGCTATTCGGTTCCGGAGGAGCTGGAGAAAGGCTCCAGTGTGGGTAATATCGTCCAAGACCTGGGGCTGGAGCTCTGGCAGCTGGCGGAACGCGGAGTTGCATTGTCTCCGGAGGTAGGACACAACTTTTTGCTTTGAGCTCCCGAACCGCAGATTGGTCATGGGGGGCAGGATAGACCGGGAGGAGCTCTGTATGGGGGCCATCAAGTGTCAATTAAATCTAGAGCTACTCCTGGAGGGTAAGGTGCAAATATATGGGTGGAGATATAAGTGCAGGACGTTAACGACAACGCCACCTCCTTCCTGGAGGGCGAACTAGAAATAAAGAGTGAACACGCAGCCACTGGGATGCGATTCCCTCTTCCCCACTCCTGGGATCCGGATATCGGGAAGAATTCTCTCCAGCGCTACGAGCTCAGTCCAAATAATCACTTCTCTATGGACGTGCAAAGCGGAGCGGATGGGAACAAGTACCCGGAGCTGGTCCTGGAGCGCGCCCTGGACCGCAAGAAGAAGGCGGCTCACTACCTGGTCCTCGCGGCTTCCGACAGGGGCGACCCGGCCCGCGAACGACAACGCACCAGCGTTTGCTCAGGCCGAATACCGCGTGAGCGTTCCCGAGAATGTGGCAGTGGGCACTCAGCTGCTTCTGGTAAATGCCACCGATCCAGATGAGGGAGTCAATTCGGAAGTGATGTATTCCTTCCGGTATGTAGACGACAAAGCGGCCCAGGTTTTCAAACTCGATCCTAAATTTAGGAACAATTTCAACAAAGGGAGAGCTCAACCACTAGGAATCTGAATTGTAAGAGATGGAGGTGCAAGCGATGGATAATGCGGGGTATTCAGCTCGAGCCAAAGTCTTGATCACAGTTCTGGACTTGAATGACAATGCTCCTGAAATACTCGTCATCTCTCTCCTTAGCTCTGTTTTGGAAGACTCCCAGAGGGACACTAATTGCCCTTTGAAATAGCAACGATCATGACTCTGGGGAAAACGGCCAGGTGATCTGTTCCATCCAAGGGAATCTGCCCTTTAAGTTAGAAAAGTCTTACGGAAATTACTACAGTTTAGTGACTGACGCAGTCTTAGATCGGCAGCAGGTTCCTAGCTACAACATCACAGTTACCGCCACTCACCGGGGAAGTCCACCTCTGTCCACAGAGACTCACATCTTGCTGAACTTGGCGGACACCAACGACAACCTTCCCTCATTCCTCGTCGTCGTACTCCACCTATATCCCAGAGAACAACCCCAGAGGCACATCCATTTTTTCAGTGAGTGCCCAGGTGACCAAAACGCCCAGGTCACTTACTCTGTCACTGAGAACATTTTGCAGGGGTCACCGCTGTTCTCCTATGTCTCCATCAATTCAGACACCGGAGTCTTGTATGCACTGCAATCCTTCGACTAC